GATGGCCTGCTAGAGCAGCAGAGCCACCACAGAGTGCAAGAAAAAAAAGCAAACATTGTCGGGCGCCCAGCTGGTGTTGTGATCAAGGCCTGCAGTGTGAGCAAAATCGAACCGGAACGTTTTCTGTAATGCTGTTGGCGTTGCAATTCTCTTGTCATTCCAATGCAAGAAGTCGGAATCAACCTCTTCAAGAGATTGCAAGTCCTATCCTGCGAGGAATTCACCAGAAGCATAAACGGCAATGGTGCAACCTGGGCTGAGTGATGAGTGCTTCTAAGTTGAGCATTTGCGAAGCTAGATTATGGCTTTGTCACAATTCCAAATGCACATCGCTCTTGCTTCCTCTGCTTGCTAGCTTTCACATGCAGCTGCTCTGACAAAGTTGAGCAACAAGCATGCCACTTGCAGTCAGCATGCAGAAATATTTCATGTTCTTTTGCCTGCAAACAGTCGATAGGCATTTTGTGGCAAACATGCTCAGGCAAAGCGAGGGCTCAGAACGCTTCCCATATCTTCCCATCAATCAGCGGCTTTCCTGAGGTTCCATAATCTTTGTCCAAGAAAGCCACCAGTGACACCAAAGCAAAGGCAGCTCATCCCAAAGATGGCCGTGATTGCAGTTGATGCCTCCGCATCAATACGTGGTTGACTTTGAAAATATCAATGTCTGAGACAAGTGTCTGACAATATCGGTCTTTTGAGGGGGAAGCATAGTAAATCTGAGGCATGGCTGGCATGGCTCATATAAAGCATATTCAAACTTTCAACCGCACCTCCACGGCCATGCCCTGATCTGTTGCCAAGTAGTCGGCCAAGAATGTTACGATCACCGAAATAGGTATGCAGCCAGGAAGGGCCTCCAACAAAGGTGTGTCAGAAACTTGAACAGCATGTGTCACAGACCAAACTCTCGGCACCTGCGCAAATACCAAGACATTCGACTTTACTGCAAAGACTTTCTGAAACTTCGTCAAATCCTTAGTCGCAAAGAGCAAGACTAGAACGACATCTCTCACCTTTCCAAGAAGTTCAGGATCAGACCAGGTCTTCCATGCTGAGGCCTTCCCCTCTAATTTCAGAACCTCCCATCCAAGCCGAGAAGGCCTCCAAACACCCAAATGCAGGCTCGCTGTGCCCTGGTATGCTTGACTTCTTCGCGTGCAGAAAACGAAGTGAAAGGAAGACAAGAAAAGAAAAGCTCCTCGTTCATCACTGGCTCTTCACGCTTCGCTTTCGCCTCTATGGAGGCCAAAACATTAATGCCAAGGGGTCTTGGGACGAAGGGCCCCAGCTTTAGCATCTTGAGCTTCGCAAGCAAAAAACAAAAACACAAAAACAAAAACACAAAAAGCATCTGAACAATAAAGTGTTTGTGGTTGGCGGTATCAGACTTAAGGCCATGCTGGGACGGTGGCACCAGGATTTCACAGCACCTCCCCTGCCTCCATATCAGGATGGCCAGACTAAGCTGTGGAACCTCAACCTCCTCCCAAGCTCCCTGGAACAGCAAGCTCCTGAACCTTGTTTACGGCCCTTCAGATCCTTGCCCCAAAGCATGCTCCGAAACCCGTTCTGGAACTCTCGAAGGGCATTATGTTCCAGGTTTGCTATGTCTCCGTAAAGAGACATTGAGCTTTTGCCCAAGCGTGACTCGAGCGGGGTGAAAAACTTGCACTTGGAAAGATACTGAGTAGGCCCATGCCTTTGTTTTGGGCAGCAAACCTCCATTAGCCATCGTTGGGTATTTTTGGTTTGGCTTCCAGTAATTATCATCTGAAACGGGCCAGACAGGGAGAGAGAGAGAGAGAGAAACAGAGCGCAAGTGCAGAACGATGTTGTTTGAATTGTTGAGTTTGGGCAGAATGCTTGTTTACTAAGTTTACTTTGTACTATGTCCCCGTCGAAGGCCGAAACACTGTATGAGACATAGGAGACTACTCTAATGTATTCAATGCGCTCCGGAAGCTATCAAGCACCTCATTCCTTCAACACAAAAACCTTCCGGGCGAGCGTGTCCAAGTCGGAACAGACATGAATGCACAAAAAGTCGTAGGTGGTTCAAGTGGAAGATTAACTAGAAGAAATGAACCAAATACTTGCAAGTGAACAAAGCTGTCCAAAAACCACAGACTCTTTAAGTCCTACGACCTAGGATCTGTAGGATCTACCATCTCCCCCAAAGCATCAACAGTTTTGGGATTGAAGCGAAGCGGAGAGGTCGAATTCGATTGAATTGTTTTAACAAATGCTCTTTTCCAAAGAAGCACTGGGCAAGGGAGCTTCGAGATTCCAGTGTCTGATGAAAAGAAAGCGCCTTTTGTTGTGTGCGGGGATCAGATAGACAAAGGCGTACCAGAGCGGCGCAAACCAATGTCGGTATGGCAATGATTGTGAAGGGAAGTCTCCAGCCTGAGAAGCAAAGCATTGTGCTGTTCTCTTTTTTTGTCTTTTGTTTCTCTTTTTCTTTAGCCCGCCCTTACATAATTAAGTAGGCGCCTACTTAATTAAGTAAAGGAATAAGCTCCTAGTTGCTAAAGCTTCTAGTAACTGGACACAAAATAGCTCACGCTTCTTCAAGGAAGTACCCCCTCCGCCCTAAAGGCGGCGGGAGCTTCTTTGAAGAAACGCTCGCACTATTCATTCAGTTCCTAGATTTGGGGGAACTGGGATAACTTCAATTTGCTGCGTTTTCCTAGCAAATCCTCTGAGATGAGCCTCGATTGGCGAGAAATCTCGCGTAGCTGTCGCTCTTCTGTGGGTGCTTTAGAGCGAAAACAAAATTGGCCCGTTAGCTTGAAGCTAAGCATTTTGGAGACCTCCAGCCTCAGCACCTTCAGACTAGGAGCCGTAAGTTGGTCCAATGACACCAGACCTCAAGAAATGGAAATGCTCAGAGACATCGTTTTTTGACCACTACCGTCTTCGTAGAATGCTTCTTTGAAGGTAAAAAGATATGGAAAAAGAAGGAGGCAGGGCTTTAAAGGGGCCTTATATTACTTATAATCTCGTATTTCAAAAAGCACCTCTTGTATGTGCAATTGAGACACATGAGACCGCCAAGAGCAGCTCCAATATTTCCAGCAGCGTTCAAGGCTCCAGAAATCAACGTCCGTTGCGAAGGAGGGAAAACATCGGCAGAAAATGCAAAAAGGACCTTGTTGTCCAATAAAAGGCGTCAGCCATATGTGAATCCAAGTCCAGCTTCAGGGTATGAGCATGTCTCGTGTTGCTAGTGCTGTCTGAGGTTCTGGAAAGGAGCCTCCAATTGCCACCTAATGCATCCACCAATGACTTTCTTGCACATCAAAACAATTTACAAAATCTTAGATTCTAGGCCACCCACCCCCGTACAAATCCTTGCCATGAAGAAGTAGAAGAATCCTGCCTGGATGTGAAAACTATGTCTGAAATGTCAAGTGAACAACAATTCTAGTAGTAAGGCACTTTGCTACTAGAAGCAAGGATGCTACTTACTCGGGGCTCCTGGCCTTACTACTAGGAACAAGTGCATCGCTACTAGTAACAAGTGCCTTACTAGTAGTAACAAGGACGCTTCCGCCGGCCTTTGAAGATGGGACCATGAGACTCATGAGCAAAGAGGGCAGTGCGCCACAAAGAACAACTCCACAAAGCACCGAAATCCGATCAAATTGATCTGCTGCTGGGCCGACCAGCACAGATACCGCACCTTCAAAAGCGGGTTTTCACCATGTTGACCGTACTTGTAAACTCCCTGTGCTTGTCAATTCCCTGACTTTGACTTTGACTTAAACCGCTTCAGAAGGTCTGTGTTTTGCTGGGAAAGCTTTCCGGCAAACGCGTTGAAAACCACATCAATGAGAGAGTAATAGTCCAAGTAGACTTGTTTACAGCTTACATCTGTACGACAAAAGTGTCTTGTGGGAGCACATCAAAGCCAATACTGCGTGTCAGGCACCAAAACCTCGTTGTTTGGCCAGAAGCCAAATACTCAGATGCATGCAAGCCTTGATTTCCTTACCAACATCTAAGGCTTAGGACCATCGAGTTCTTGATGCTTTGGGCCGAGCAGGAAGACTTGTTTCAATTGATGCCTCCATCTCATTCTAATGTGTTGAACGGTCCAAACTTTGTGATCACTCGAAAGCACAGACCATCTACCCCTGTGATTTACGTAGCAAGGGACACATGTACAGTAGCTGATTCAGCCTAAGCACAAAGGCTCACCAATGTGTCATGAATTGGATCACGGTTGACCAAACCGTTTACAATACTTGAGGGTTGAGCCATCACCTTGGTGATTGGTCGTGTTCGTCGTGTAGGTCACATGTTCTTTCTAGTTTAGGCCACTAACAGTGCTTCAGCTGTGGCTTTGGGATGGGTTTGCAGTGCCATTGCCAATCTCCATTGTACTGCTAGGGGACAAACGGGCAATCATTCGAGGTGTAAAGGAATGGCTTCAACGTAAATGGGATGTGCCCAAGGCATTGACGTAAAGGAAGCAAGTGCGAGCTTGTTTACCCTTTGCATCCCTTTTTGAAAGTTTGCTGCAAAGACCCCCTAACAAGGCTGTTTATATCTTCCAGGTGAGGAACCGCCCACGAGGAAGAAGCCAAACTGAACAAGACCACCAAGACGTGAGTCCTTGCAACTGATTGAAACTTGCAGAATCTACATATATATATATATATCAGATGTGTGTTTTCTCTGATCTCTCCCACTCCTTCTGCATGGGCGTCATCTGAAAGTCATTTGCAATTGCTGATAGATTTGGTGCCGCAAGGTTTTGGTCAGCATGCAGAAACATGGCCGTGACAAAGAGTAGCACAAATGTAACCTGCCCAACAAAGAGGCTAGAGCAGTATCAGTCTATCAGCATGACCTAGGATTTGAACAGTTTGAACGATTTGAACCCACTCTGTGTGATCAAGTAAACCGCTCTCATGAATTAGTTTGGGTCAGTGGCACGCCTGCAGGTGTCGGGGTAGCTTCCACAGCGGCATGCTGTCGTGCCGGTCTGGCTTTTCATCGAAGGTGTTCTCCGAGCTCCAGCCAGAGGCACCAAAGTTTGAACCTCAAAGACAAATCTTCAGAAAACTGTCGCCGTAGACTCTAGTGCTTGGATGTCTTATGTTATTTGTATTTTACACCTTTGTTGCTTGCAACACATTTCACCAACAGCTCTCGCCAAAGAACGTCGCGTCCGAAGGTCAGACGGCGCATATGCCGCCATGGCTTGGGTTTGTGACCTTTTTCTGAAGCCTTCGAGCCTGTGTGACACATCGTTTTCTATGGCGAAATGTGTGTAGCAAAGCATAGTGAAACTCTTTCCCTTCTTGTATCTCAACCCACAACTCCGTACAAGCTCTCCTCACAGATTTTGCGTACAAGCGCAAGCTGGTTGCTGGCCTGGCATGAAATTCATGCAATTACATGGTAAAGAATCTGGCTCTACAACTAGCTAGAGTTTGGCTAGAGCTGACAAGTGCTTGTTTCAGCTTACCTATGCTCTGCTACAATACGTGTTCAAAACCTAGTTATGGAAGCAAAACACAAAAGGAGGATTCCAATCTTTTCTAATTGCCTGGCCACAATCTGAGTTGGATCTATCTGCCTAAGGGAAAATGGCTTACAGTGGTCATTAACAATCAAAGTCAAGTCATCGGCCCAACACTCTCAAATAGCATCTGCTTGAAGAAGTATCCTCTGCGTAACGTTCAAAAATATTGATGCGCAGGGTTACGCACTGGTAGACAGAAGAGGTGCAGAAGCATGCAAGTCGTGCAAGTGCAGGCCAAGACAACTTCCCATGTTTGGGTGCTTATGACCTGCCAATCCTGGGGCGTCTAAATCAGCAGCCAACAGACCTAATGCTTTCGGGAGTTAACACCCAAAGGACTAAATGCAGCCAATGAACTGTCATACAGGGAACACCAACATCGGCAAAACCTCGACATCGAAGTCAGCCTACTCTAGACCTTCCGAACATGGAGACTCTGTTTTTGAGGAAACATTCAAATTGATTGTGTTGATCCGAGGCAACTTTTTCAGGAAGAACTTAACGCAGGTGACTCATGGCCCCATGTGCAAAACAAATTAGAGGAAAAGCTAAGACTTTTGCACTCACCTCCGGACCTCAAAAGGTCTTCGCAATGCCACCACTTCATAGAGAACCGCACCTTAAGTATGCAAAAAGCCCGCAGTGCGAGTAGAGAGAAACGGTGCTGAATATATAGAAGGGAAAGAATGCTTTCTCACAGTCTCCAGCCCAAAGCCCAGCAATCTGCTGGAGCACCGTACCTTAATGCATGAGATCTGTGGCCTTTCAAGTTGAAAACATTATACAAGCGAAGCAAAGAAGTTGATGGGACCCTGACTCTTCTCCTGACACTAGCTCAGGTGAAAAGTAGTATGGCCTGGATCCGCAGGAGTTGCTGCAACTATAAGTGATGAAACATCGCTGGGGCGATGGGACTGAAGCTGCATATCAATAGTGCAAACACTACGGACTGACAGCTGCTGTTGAAGTAGGGCAAAGTGCTAAGTATGCTTAACATGGTGATCCGCATTCTTGCAACCATGCATTTGTTTGCATCTCCTGAACGGACTACAACGGGTGCAGTGAACACAAACCAGCGTTGGCGTGTCGCTTTTGGTTGCGTGGGTCTGCATCCTTCATGGACTGTGGCAAGCCACGACTATCACCCACGGCTGCAAGTTTTCAAGCGAATCTATTGGCATCTCGTGGGTGTCGCGCTGTTTGGACAGCGAGGCGTCACTGTAGGGGTGCATCAGGGTGAGCAAATGATACAATTTGGAAATTTGTACACATTGGTCCCGAGTGATTGCAAGCTCAGAGGTTACCCACATGCTCTCCGCTTGTCCACTCGAGAAAACGAAACTGTAAACTGTCCATTGATGCGTCATGCAAGCCTGAAAGAATTGGGTCTCTGGCGTGCCAACAAGCGTGTGTGCTTTGAGCGTGGCTGCTTCCACAAGCTTTGCAATTCCGAAGTCTGCCAATTTGATACGGCCAGATCTCCTTGAAGTCCGAAAATTGGTTCTGAGATTTCCGCCCTACCATAGTTTGAGCTGAAGAGTGCAGTCCTTGAGAGCAAAATATTTGCTGGCTTCACCTCAAGCAGCTGCAAGGCTTGAACCGTAACGTACAAATTGATCGCACCAGGGGTAGTACATCCCGATGGAGGATGCCAACATTGTGAATGTACCTCAAGCAGCCCGCGAATATGAAAAAGCTTGGCGCTTTGGGCCTTAAGCTCTGTGGCAAGCTCCAACTTCAAAGACTGCCAAAATTGTAGTCGCGACAACTCTCAAAAATTACACGACATGACGAATATACCTAATAATACGTGTGTAAGTATATATAAATCAAAGTGAAAATGTTGCGGCATCTCCAACAAGCTAAAGGGAGTGCATCCAAGCTGGCGTTGTCCCCATACCTCATAAATCAAGCGCCCCGACTGGAGTGCACATCCCACAGCTGTGAGTACTCTTCGAGGAAAGTGCGCATCAAAGCACCCATTCTGCAATGTGAGCACGGCACTCTAGACCAACCACTTGATCCAGAAGAATTCATTAAAAGCATCTGGATCAAAATCTCCCTCAATCTAAAACGTAACATGTTCGCCCTCAGAATTGACTTCTATTTTGCAGGCGATCTTAAAGCCTTTCGAAATTGCATTTTCAGGATGTCCCCTTTCGAACAAACAAAGGGCAGCAAAACCGAGTGTGTCTGGACCTCAATTTTCAGTGTGACAAGCCCAGAGATGGACTTACAGTATAGTACATGTCATGTGGCAGATTTGCAGTTGTGTTGTTGCAGTTTGGGACTACGTATCTTCGACTCAGTATCATATCCAGATATACAAAAAGTGTCTTTGAGAGGCATTCGAGTTACAACTGGCGGATTCGCGATTGATGCTAAAGGATGCGGTTCACCATTCTTGATGTTCGTCCCGACTGCCACCTCTCTGCGTCGCTGCTCGATAAGGCCACGAAGGTCCCCACCATCCATGTATTCCAGCCTCGGCGATTGGCACAGGTTGCAACGAACTGCCACCGTTTGGTTCCCTTCGATTCGAGGCCGCAGCACCAAGCACAAAGTTTCTCGGGCAATGTCGAAAAGAACTTCCTCACACCTGACCTGAGGCATGTTTGCTGCGGTGCTCGGTGCTTTTGTCGCGAAAGTTCTCCAAGCTCGCAAACGATGTGGGGGTATCGCAACTCCTGAAGTTCCGATCAGGGCCGATCATTCATTAGGAGTATAAGGCTTCAGCCCTGAAATCAGACACTCCAATCGCGAGTTGATCACATGTTTACAAGCAGCGGCTGCAGCCTGCAGCAAGCTGGCCTCAACCAAAGCTGCCTGCAAAAATGCATGCCGTAGAGTCCGTAGAGGTCTACTGATGTAGTTTGAGAATCCCTGTCGCCTGGAGAGTTGGGTCAGCGCGAGGGCAGTCCAAACCAGGATCCTTCCATCCGCGAAACGCCGACGTGCCTGATTTCTATCCTACTTTGCAATGCGATGCGCCTGCTTTGGCCCCAGGTCGCATGGAATCACCTTGGTCAAAAGCTTTGAAGTGACAGTGAGCGGACTTGAGTGCAGACCCCTGCAAAATAAACTTATGTAAGCTTTCTACTTTGTGAATAGCCTTTGAAAGGCTGAAAGGCATTGGTTGTTTTAGATTCTCGGCGTCCTCGCCGCCCGAGAACTGATTTTTGGGGGTGGGGGGGCCTTGGGGGGGGGGGGGGGGGCGGGGGTGACAATAATGAACGATGTTGATGTGTTTGTTCATATGTACCGAATTGTTGTTTCTGCTGTTTCATCTTTTTGTGTTTGGGGCTACCTGAGGGACATAACACCATTCAAACCGAGTTTTGGGGTTCAAGCATGCGCAGGTTGACTTTGCGTGGTTTGCTTTGATTATGTTACGTGTTGTTAATTCGTTTGTCAGGATTTGACTTTGTTTTTCATGGCCCGGTCCTTTGTTTGGTTTCTTTGTTTGTGAGCCCGCTACTTGGACGACTTGTTGGATCTAGGCACTCGCTGATGGACTGACGTGTGTGTGTGTTGCTTTGTCTTTGCACATAGCACTAGATTCACATGGCTTTTTGGACTTCGAGTTATTTTTGGACCATGGATCACCCACACTTGGTGCTGGATGCTGTGGCTGCACCAACCGCAGTGTCTCCGAAAAAGTACAGGTCACGTAAACGAACAAAAAACTTGATTCTCGCTGTGGCGGTAAACACAAATCAACACCGGATTACTGTCTGTAAAGTTCAATGAAAATAAGGGTGTGCAGATCCATTGAAACCTTCAAAACCCTGCGAGGGTTACAAACTGTCATGCGACGGGTCAAACAACATGAACAACCCTTGCACAGGCGGCGACAGCGCCGTGAACTTGTTTAACTTGTTTGACTCCACAGTGAGCCTGGTTCCCGCAACTTGAGGCATTTGTTGGTTTCACAAAAAGCGGTGTTGGGTTCAAGCAGCGACTTCTAGAAAGCCCTGCTTCAAAACTAGAGGCAATGGCCTCCATCCTAATAGCGATGGCCTCCAACCTAGAAGCTTCAAAACTGGCTGCAAATTCAGACGTGTCCCAATAGGGCGTTGAGAAGAGATGTGTCGAATTCGGAAGAAATTGCTGCATCTATCATCGAATCATCGAACTAGGTGAGCGCTTTGAAGGGAGCACTGGGTTGTGTCCAATCAGATCGTTTGAAGCATGCTTCCAGGTGGGGGTTTCTGCAGTGGGATGTGTCCTATCATTTGAACTCATGAAATGGCCCGTATGTGCGACATACGAAGGCTTCAGTTGCTTTAAAAGAAACGCTTTCTCTGACAGTCTTCAGGGATCAGGTTTGAGTTCACTCGCAAAAATCACGCGTGTTTGGCTTGGATTGTTTGGTTTGCGCTGCGTCTTCTGCTTTTTGGCTAGACGGCTTGCTGGTTTCTCACAAGGCGAACACTCGGGAAGCCAGCAATAGCTCCGGTTCTTGCTACAAAAGGCTGTCCAACACCTCAAGCTACCAAACCGTTCTTTTTTTGGCCGGTGGGGGCAGGCCGTAGAGGTAGTAGCTAGGTAGGTAGCTAGTAGAAGAGGTAGCTGCCACTTGCAAGTAAGCTACTGCCGACTGGAAGCATGATAGCTCGCGCTAATGATTTGGTTCCTAGATTTTTAGGGAAACTTAACCATAGGAAGCCCACAAGGTCGCTTCATCAAAAACAATGATGTGCACTGCAGGCAATGCAAAGCATGACTGATCCAACTTCTGAATGTAATTCAAACATCGATGCAGGGTCTTTGCTTCTTGGACAAGTACCTTCATTGCATACTGCACCTGTCCATGCACCAGGAACACCTCCAAAGCGCGATAGGAACAAAGTGTGAAAATCAATGTCAAGGTAAACAAGCATCACCCCTGTATCACCACTGCTTTTTGTAGGGGTCTGGAATGCGTTCGAGAACACATGTCTTGGGAATCAATAGGCATTGACGTCCGAAAGCTTCTTCAAAGCACATGGGAAAGTGTCGTTCTTTGCAAAACAGACTTTGGCAAATGACTGAGAAAACTCTCTACACTGCACCTCCCCGTAGGCCCCGCGACCGAGAAGACGATCTACTGCATAAGCGCCTACCGTATCACCTGCCTAGCCGGACACAATATGCAAGCATTGGAAATGCATACTTTCCCAAACAAGTTACTAGGAAGCAACTAGTAACAGGTGCATCGCTAGTAGTAACAAGTGCATCGCTAGTAGTAACAAGTGCAAACAAAGCGCTCGAAAAGGCATAAGCTCTCGAGGCAATCGCCATGGAGGGCTGACAGGGCGATGGAGGCCGCACGACGAAGCAACCGGTAACCACTCGCTTTTGTCTCAGGTGTTGGACACTTGAAGAGGGAGAAAAAAAACATAATGTTCTCTTGCTGGTTGTTCGTTTCGACAAAAACAAGAAACAGTTATATAAAAGAACATAAGGCTACAGAACTCAAAGTGTACTGAAATGTTAACAAAGCAAAGGGATAATTCAATGAAATGTAGCCTTGAACACTCGAAGCAGGAATCAAGCAATGAAAACAGTTTCCAAATGGCCACAAACTCTTTGCTAATGTCAAATCTGCGAAAGTAGCACAACTCGGGTGAGGTTCATGTCTATTTGTGCTCATCGCTCCAGACTCACCACCATTTACCTGAATCAAGTTACGAATGAATATAACTGTCAATCCCAGAGTCCTCGTGTGAAGCAGAGTGAAGTCTCTCAGATTCCGGCTTTCTACCCATCCATCCGCCCAAGCGGCTGCCAAGTCCACCTTGGGAATATACTGTGCGTTATACTCAAGTCCTCCTATCTCCCGTCGTCAAACATGTTTTCAAGGAGTCCAACGAGAAGTCATCTGAGCCCAAAGCCCAAAGCTCCCGCAACTGCCGCCACAGCTTGTCGACCTTTACCTGTGTCACCGCCAGCAATTTCCAACTAAAAAGATCGAAAAGTAAGTCTAAAAGATGAAAAAAATTAATTAAGTATGGAATATGTAATAGTATAGATATGATGTAACTGTAACTGTATATATCTATAAAGTGTGTGTATATATATATATATGCTTGTTTGTTTGATAAGAAGGAAGAAGACAAGGTCCCCGTCCAAAGGGGTGCCTTACCTTCCTTTTAGTCAATCAAAAATTGCTTCGTCATTTCACAATTTGCTCTTTGCAACTTGAAACCTTCAAAATCCTTCAAACACAGATCCCCCGTCTTTGCGCCTTCTTGCTTTTTCGGGAGGATCTCGTCCAAGTCTGGTGGCCTTAGATTTGGAAAAAGTAGAAACCAATGCTGCCAATGCAAGTACCCGCCCTCTCACACATGCCATTCTGCAGTTAAACAACAGGACAGCAAGTACTCGCACATCAGAGCTTTCGACTCTATGCAGGGAAAGGCCAGGTCAAAAAGCAGGGGCTGCAGGCAGTCGAAGCGGCATGCAACATGTACAGAGACATATCGCCAACAATGAGTCGATTAAAGATCAGCCAACTTGGGATTGCAAAGCCAATTTAGGATTACTCAGGGTCTGGAAAGTCAAACGAACAGATCCTTTCGAACTTATAAACTTGAGCACTTGGCTCGCAATGTAAGTGTGATCAGTGTATTCTACAAACGAATGAGAATTCTCAAAACCTTCTAGCCGAGTGGGCAAACAATCATCAAATGCCATACGTGCGGAATCCTATGAAAGATAGATAGATAGATAGATAGGTAGATAGATGGATAGATAGATAGATAGTTAGATAGATAGATAGATAGAAAAATAGATAGATAGATGGACCGACCGATGGATAGATAGATATATGATATATATATATATGGTCAAAGGGTTCAGCGTAGCTAAGCAAACAAATATTTTGGCACACGAACGCAAAATTTGGCACAATCAAAACACCCAACCACTGTGATTGTGCGAAATGTTTTGATGAGCCGAGCAGGGAAGCTCTACAATTCCAGCCCAAGAACTCAAAACCACAAACCATCGGATTCAGATCACAAGCTCTGGGTCAGGGATCAAAAAACACAATCAATTTTAAAAAAAATTGACGGGGATCAGCAAAAAATGATAATAAAAAAGATCCAGTGAAGAGTGAAAGAAAAAAAAGACTAGGGAAAGGACAACAGCAGCAGGGCGGGCGAGGACCATGAAAGGATGTGTGCAACACATAACCAAAAAACTTATGCTAGAGCGTGCAATACTTAGCGGCTGTGTTTGTGATTCTGTGTTTGTGGTTGCCCACTGTCATCTGGCACTTGCAGCTGAATGTAGTTGTTTGTTTGTGTGGATATGCGATGGATGACGTTTAACAAGTCGGTCGTGGCAGGCCCAGTGCATTGGGAAAAAATGCAAGCTTCGTGGCGCTGGAGGGGGGTGGCAAACTACAAAAGCCACCAGACTCTCAAGGCACCACAAAGTACATCATCATCATCATCATCAGCAGCAGCATCAGCATCAGCATCAGCATCAGCATCAGCATCATCATCAAAAACTGCACATCCTATTGATCATCAAACAAGGGCTCACCCACCACAGGACAATGAAAGAGTGCTTGCAACACAAAGTCAAAAAGACTTGGGCGAGCGCGCGCAATATTTTGCGTGAGTGTGCGATGGGTGCCTGGTGACCTTTAGAAAATCTGTCGTGGTAGGCGCAGCGCATTGGCAAAATAATGCAGATTTCGTGGCGCTGGAGGGGGGTTGGGGGGAGGGGCTGCGCTTCCCCAGAGCGAACAAAGCATCAAAAGCCATCAGACTCAAAAGGCACCACAAAATACATCATCATCATCATCATCATCATCAAAAACTACACACTCCAGTGCCTCATCAATGAAGGGCACTCAGAAAGTGACGCAAGGACCAAGGCAATCGGGCAGCGTTTTGTTTTCGCAAGCCTCGTGGTTTTGACCAATGGACCACCCAGCGGGCCAGGAAAGGGACCAGGGGACCAAAGGCAGGGCTACCAAAGGACCAGCGAACCTACTCAGGATGATGTGTTTTGATCCTGTTCTTATTGTGTTGTTGATCCTGTGTTTTTGTTGATACAGTACTGTTCCTTTATTCTTTCGATCTAGATGCCAGCTCTGTGCTCAATGATTTGCGTGGAGCATGAAGACTCAAGTTGCTTGATCAAATTAACGCACGGTCGTCTCAAGAACCAAAGACTTTCTCATCGGTGATCTTGACAATAAGACGAAACTTATCTCTGGTGACACTCATGCTGGGGACACTGAGATAATACGTTAATACTGGAAACGCACTTTTAGTGCCCAAGATTCGAGCAAACCTTATGGAGGAAAAGCGAGCTTACCATTGTCACGCATTGTCATCCAGCAGAGCTGCGCTTGCTTTGTCGCTAGAAACAAGACCTTCGGGATCCTTCCGGTGTGTTTTCCAACACGAATTATATACTGCTTTTGCTGAAAAGGTTCGTCTGAATTCTTTGGGGTCAGGACAAGTTCTGTTTGCACAAAAGCCTAGGGTGGGCCTGAGCATTTCGCGAGATTCTTTTTCATATTTGGCGGGATATTCTGATTTTCTGGAAGGGGAGTAGGGAGGTTCCCGGTAGTGCCCCCTGCTCCTGGAACAGAGCAAAGGAAAGCGTGTGCTGCAAAGAAGTGTTTGGAAGATTGCCGAGATGATTTCGGAGGCCTGGGTGAAAGAAAAGAAAAATACAAAAGCTGGTGCAGGGGTGCCACTCTTAAAGGTCAGATTTCATGGCAGGCAGGATTCCGGAGAGGCTGCAGATTTCGTGGTGCAAAAGGGGAATTGGGGGAAGGGTTTTAAGAATCCACTGGAAGCCAGTCAACAGTAGCCAATAAAAGCCAAGAGAAGCTACCAAAAGCCAGCAGCCAACAAGAGCTACAAGAAGCCTCCAAAAGCCAACGGAAGCCATCAAAATCCCACGAAACCAAGAGAACCACCAAAAGCAAGCCATCAAAAACCAAACCACCTCGCAAGCAAACGTCAACCTAAAGCCACACGAGTCACTGAGCCAAAAGCTGTACGAAGCCATCGAAAGGCAAAAGCTACAGAAGCCACATAAAAGCTAAAGCCAATAGAAGCCAGAAGCAAAGATAGAGCCAGCTAGAAGCCAAGAGTCACAGTAAAAAATATCCCGCTATATCCAAAAGGCTAGAGTACACCCTCCCCCAAAGGGTCCACGTAGGCTGCAGACTACGCACAGTACTTGGGCAGTTTGGCCCCCCAAAGCATGTACATGTGACAGGTAGATGCGTAATTATTTAGCCATGGTTCATCCAAACAACCCAAAAACCTTGATTCACTTCTTTCATCTTCCTTCCACACTACTTTCGCCCAACGGGTTGTCTTCGGATAGAACATGCCAGGAGAAAACCTACAACCTACCGATCTAATGACTCCAATCCTCCGATCAATACATATTTCAATAGCCAACAATCTGTTCTTCCAATCTCTTGTTACTACTAGCGTGGCACTTGTTTCTAATAGCAAACATTGTTACTACTAGTAAGGCACCTGTTACTACTAGCGTGGCACTTGTTTCTGCTTGCCTTGCACGGTATATCTAGGAACTTCGGAGGGAAGGTTGCAAGCAAATCCTCCAGGACGACAGCTCTGGGCTCAAATCACCAAGTGCCATGCAGCAGTCCTGTTTAGTCTTGGGTGCATCAACGGATGGTTCCTTAGCTTGCCGGACATATGCGCCCATCCAGGCTACTTGCAGCAAACATTGCCTCGGCGTCATCCTTCTTCGTCTTCTTGGACTGGAGCAAAAAGTTTCGAACGAGACGTCGAGGAATTAGGAAAGTGAGCACATCAGGACACAATCACATATAAAATGACTCTACTCTTCCGACTCGACTCTCAGCTTTGCAACAAAGCATCCCTTGCCTTGGCCAACAAAACCAATACTCTGCAATGCCATCGGGCAACACGAAGCCTGCATGGTTTTGGTGTAGCAACGACCACCACGACCACCGCCACTACCAGGTTACCACCACCACCACCACCACCACCACTCCACTGGTACTGCTACTGTCACTCCTACCCCCGCTGCTACTGCTACTACTCTTACTCTCCTCCTACTTTTGCTCCTGCTTCTGCTACCACTTCTACTAATGCTCCTGCTCCCACTACCACTGCTACCACCACTGCGACGACAATAGTTCTACAGAGAGCAACGGTCAGGGTGAGCTTCTCCTCTGCAAAACACTAAGTCAAGCCGAGCAGCGGCAGTTGTTGCTGTATGTGATGAAAAAGACTTTCAAGACGAGGCAAGTGTCCAGGCCCACCACTCCCAACTGCCTCCAAAGGCAGTCAAATGTGACTTTGTGCACATGAACAAGAATAAATAACATGGCATTCTCGAAGTATAATGAGGTCTAATGATCAGACAAATTGACACATCTCGACCTCTTCAATTCTTCCTGTTAGCATGTCCAGGAGGGCTGCGGCCTGACATAGCGATGAGCAGATGTACAATGCACAAAAGAATGAATGCACATGACGCTGGCCAAGGCTTTGATTAATGTTAGGGTCCTACCAGTATCAGGTTGTTGGGGTCACTCAACCCTTTCCCCAAATGAGGAAACTCGTGTAGGAAGCGTCAACTGCCTCAGTTGTTGAAGGCAGAAGGCAAGTCAACAAAAATGGAACAAGTTGCAAATAACAAGACTACGTAAAGCCCCGACACGGAAGAAAAATCTGCACCGCAAGTGGCTGGCTGCAATGAAAGTCTTGTTTGAAGTCTTCCTTGAACCTTTTTAATGGCAAAACTTGCTCCGAATGTGCACTCAAGGTTTTACTTTAACCATTTTTTGGCACCTTTGTGCGACGATGTTGACTTGGAATGATCGGTGACTTGGAATGATCGGTGGGAACCTTTGTTTGCAAGCACCAAGCATCACGCGTGTATTTTGGAAGATCCCTTGCTTGCAACCTATTCTCGGAACGCTTTGCTAGCAACCCCCATTTCGAACCTTCGGAACCGAGGAAAGCTTTGTCTTTCTTGAGAGCATAGGGCCACGTGACTGTGTCACAGCTCCAGGCGCAGTCACTTCATCAACACTTCCAGACTCAGATAGTCAGCACTACCCTCGGGTTCGCAAAAACAGGTAGCATAGCAGCAGCCACCCAACAGCCTAGTCCTAAAGCTAAAGGCTATTGACCGCACAGCAGACAGGTGTAGCAATAGGTGGCCTATGGCGTATGGTGACCACAGACGGAAATCTCTGATGCAGAAGCTTCTCAGCAACAAAGACCCGCAGGGGAGATCTGTCATATGTTGCAGTAGCCCTTGAGACACTGCTTCTGCCTTTCCCATGACCATGTTCAGAATGCAGACACAGCCCAAGACAAGGTCGCAGGGATTAATCACGAAACAAATCCCATCGGCAAACTGCCAAAGATCTGAGCGTGAATGTCGCAGATGACAACAGCATAGACATTGTAGGATCATCCTTGTACGGATCAAGGCGCCAGCTTTGATGTTTGGCAGTAGGCCTCCCAGGCAATTAAAACAGTCCATCTGTCCGGAGCAATCTCCATGGGTCAGAGTACTGAGTGCCGTTCACCTGCCCTGAGCAAGATCCCAAGATTAAAATACAAGTTGATGACCTTGCTTCAGATGATGCACAGATCAACTTGACAGGATGGGACGTAAGAGAGTTGACTGCGCAGGAGAGCAGCTTCCCTTCCACCCTGCACCAGCAATGGTTTGTGGGTCACCAGGTAAACCGTTTTCCACAATCTTCATCTGGAACTGTTTGAAACATTCATCTGTAATCTGTTGGTTCCAGCACCTCCACCAAACCCTGATACGGAACCTTGGAACATCTCCAGATTGGAGGCTTGGTGCCCCAAAACCTCAAGCTATTTAATTGCTGTTGGGGGAGCAGAAAGCAAACACCCGTTGGCTTTCTTGGGAAGAGGCCCAGTGAAGCAAGTGGTTGCAGCTTGTAAACATATCGGTACAGTGTATGTATATATATATATATAAATCACACTGGTGGGACTGGTGGGAGACTAGAGCACCATCGCTGCTGTCTTTCATTCTTGAAAGGTTCTTTGGTACTGTATCTTCCTAGATTCACGTCAAATAGCTTAGCAACACTACCTTTTTAGTGCACAAGCTATGAGTTCGTTGCGTGGAACCTGCTGCTCAAGCAGGTTTTCCACATAGTTTGTTTTCCTTGTTCCCTGCAATCAAGTGGACTTGACTCGCCTCGAGCAGCTTTCCAAGAGCTGTATGACAAAGTGCCAGGTACATGCATCTGTAGTCAAGAACTGCCTTTTCCAGCGGAGACAACCAGAACAACTGAAGAGTTGCAACGTTCGGCCAAGCTACAGTAAATACGAAAGCTGTGGAAGGCCCGCCTTCTTGTACACGGCAAGCCTGTCCTATTGTGAACGAAGTATAATGAACCAAAAGCATCCAAGTAGACTTGTGCGACTCTTGAACGCTTCTTCGACGCTGAGGAGCCTCTAAGTCTGGCGAGGACTCTGGCAGTTGTGCCAAGGCTGCCAGATCTTCCTTGATTAGCTCGCAGAAGCGCATTCCCTCAGTCTTGCAGCGTTCTTTTTGATGGAACGAATATCTGGTTGAGTGCACTGTGGACAGTCAAAGGTTCTTACACAATGAAAAGGTTTTGACAGTCAGCTCTTCTGCTTTGTGTCCCTTGAAACTCTCTCAAGAAACATCACTGTGCCTCCTCCGGACGGCAATAGCGTCTGGAGTCAATGGTGTTTACATCTTCTGTGTCGTCCAGCTTAGTCAAATGGGACCTCGCACTTCAATTGTCAAGGGCACCCTGTCACTTGGAGGCACTTTTGCGGGGAGCTTGAATCTGTTGTGATGCTGTTGTCACAAAGAATATAGTCTTGTCACACCAAATCTCTTACTCCGGGAATGCAGCTTTAGCAGCATCAGGTTTCGCTCAACACCTCAGCTTGGAGTGCCAGCGTTGCACAAGAAGAGAAGTCCGCTCTTGATACTGCCAGGTGCAAGTGAGCAGCTCAAACAAAGGGAAGCTTCTCTGATAAAGGCCTGAAATGCACACTCGAAGCATACAAGTCAATGGAAGTGGATCATCCCAACAAGGCGGGCCTCAGCAGTCCGCCATTCGGCTGTGTCAGCATCAGCGCCTGCAGCTATAATCTCACCATGAATGTCCTTTGCAATGCCAAATGGGGTTATAAGGTGCACAAGCACGGTGGAACAAAAGCCAAATAGTTGTCATGCATGTCTGTCCTTGAGCACCTCGCCAAATTCGATCGAAATTTCACCTTGGAATAACTGCAATAGTTCAAGAACACGGTACTTGATGGTATTTGGAATGACAGGCATGGCCTGTTCGGAATTCCTGGGGAGCGCGAAGAGAAGCTGCAAGAGTGATCTAAGGACTTTACCATATTTCTCGGTCGAAGCTGGACCCCGGTTCTCTGAATCAGCATCCGCCTGGCTACAAAAAAGCTGACTAAAGATGAAATCTCCTGACATGAAATGGAAGAAGGCGAGACCAACCTGGACTGCTTTGGCTGATTCCAAGCAAATCCTCAGCAAGGAATTGCTTGCGAGCGCAAACACGTATCTAGCTTGCTATCAATGCGGAAAGCCAGGGAATAGGCTTGACTTTTGCCTTGATCTTCTCCGAAGGGATAGACACTGCATGACCACGATAGGTCATCCCTCCATCCGTGTCCTGAGTCGTTCGATGGTCAGATCCGATGGACTTACAACGTTGTGTCTTTGTGTTTGCACACAGACCTAATTTGACCGTATATACAAGTGTCTATGCAATGTGACAATGTGTATGCAAGTAATTTGACATTTGCAAACGCCCCTCCCAAAGAAGAAAACAAAAAGACATGTCAAATACCATTTCGACACACGTGCATTCCACATGTTTGCTGCAAAGAGAATCCTCAAAAGAGTGCTCCAGGAATCTAGAGCCACCTTGCGTGGTGTGCATTGTCAAAGAAACCTTCAACCCACTCCATCGACCGACAAGCGTGGTTGCAAGCTACCTGTAGGTCATATCAATCAATAGGCGCTTATTGTTTCTTTGAAAGAGTTCTATTTTTGTTGCATTCTGGTTGGCCTCACTTCGGGATGAAGCCTCTAGCGCTTTTGAAATGTTCCATCAATACTTTTAGCTAGGCTTGGCTCATATGCCTCGCATTTGACACGAGGTACCCGAGTTGGCCTTTTTGTGCGCGAGTTCATTCGTGTGACTGGGCATCTGCTCGAATGGGACCATTTGCAAACAAATGTGCAGGATTCCGCGCAAACAAAGCAAAAACCCGGGCATCTTTGCGTTGCTTCCTTCTATCAACTCTCTTGAAAAAATCATGTTGCCATTCCATGTCTTATCTTTGCTTTGCTTTGCGAACAACCACTCACAAAAAAGAGGTTGAAAAGAGGTTGTGTGTTCGCTCAAAATTGTCAGTAAAATCTAACTATGTGCGTGCTTTGATACCTGGTCCTTGTTTAAATCATTACCTCTACTGTTGCGTGTGCCCCTCTACAATTTACTTTCTCTGCAAATGTCATTTGTTGTTTTTTGCGATTAGAATGCCAGTTCGGCATATGGGTATGAAACAAATGGGGTAGCATTGACCATATCTTAAATTGTCCAAAGCCAAAGCCACAACAAAACACTGCAAAAAAATTAATGAGCTGCATCGCCCTGTCCTTGGTCGATTTTCCGCTTTGAGTCACCTTTGCGGGTGCTGCAGGGAAATTGGCATCGTGCTTACCAAAGGCATTCCAACTTGCCACCGTCCAATCTCCGCCTTGGACAATCCTTCATCCTCTTCCTCAGCCTCTCCCAAGTTGTACCTGAGCAGATTGCAACAGGCTCTTCAACGCGCAAGAGTTGCAACCGTTGCACTGTTGGAAGCGCTTTCAACGCCTTTTAGCATTGGAAAAAGGACGTGAAATTCCCCCGCCTGCATTCTCGAAGCATGGGGGCGAGCTCCTTCCAAGATAGTAGCCAAGCCAAAGGGCCAAACGTTGAAACATGTATATAGAGGCAGGAAGCTGAAGAAACAATCGCAAGCTTCAAGGGAATGGGACGGGCATGGCACATCTTGCCCACAATGCGCAACCTAGGTGACTCCACGTCAGAAGCCAGACAGCATGGTCAGGACATCTCAAGGCTGCTCACATCATCATCAGCCCCACTATTCGTTCTATGTGATGATGTTTTGACTCTTGACTTGGTCACTTCAGCTTCAATCTGGAGCTGACAATGCCTTGCTTCAAGACGCACAAGCATCGGGACCTCATGGGCTTGCGCAAATTTCATCAGCACATCCGCGGGGTTGCCGTTCTGCAGCACCCAACGATCCTTGAACTTGTTTTGACATCGAGTCTCGAATCAGCGCCACCTGGAGCGATGGTGGCAAGCTCTGCTCATTGGCTGATGTGTCAAACACGCCTTCCCAGTCCAAGACTACCACTTACAGCGGACCTTGGAAGGTTTCTTCATCTTCCTCCGCGATGAGCGTTTTCCATCATCCATCTTCTCAAGTTCCTCCCTCAAATGTGTAGTCGGACCTGAGCAAGCAGTTGAGCGTGGCAGCTTCTTTAGACCTCCAAAGATGGGCACAAGTTGGATGAGCCAGACAATAGAAATCCTGGACGTTGGCTCTACAAAGCCAAAGAGCCAGAAGTTGGTGACGTGGATCGGTGGCAGTGGATCAATTCTTTCAGGGCGGGCCTGCATCATCACAAACATCACTGCCGCGTCTGGAGGGCCTTCATGTCTATGTAGAAGTGTTCACTCTGGAGGGCCATTTATTATCCTTCATGTTTACATCCTCTGCCTCAGGCAGGTTGCCGTTATGCTTTTGTGCCCTGGTAAAGGTCCGACGTGATCACGTAGTTCCTTGAACTCGTGGTCTCTTGACTTCTTGTCGACATTTCTGGTCGGTCAAGCGGTCGAAGGAGGTTGGCTATCTCATCAAAAGGCCTCGTCGGTGACGTGCTACTCACCGCCTGGAAGCTAATGGGAGGCCAAGTCGAAGCAGGACTGGAAGGCTGCCAAGTTCAAGCCATCCAGGCCGGCTGCGACACGCTCCTTTTGGGAGCATCTGAAGGTGCACACCCGGCAGACCCTTCATCAACTGTAGGTCTCCTGAAGTTCAATGCTCTTGCCAAGGACAAAGCTCTAGGCATCACCTTGCTCCGCCTACCACTGTAGGGGCATGAGGTTCAAAAGAACGCATGGGCATGGCACATCTTGTCCACAATGCCCAACCTAGGTGACTCAAGGCCTGAACCCAAACAGCATTCAGATCGGAAGGCTGGTCAAGACATCTCAACACTGTTCACATCTTCACCCAGGAATCCAACACACTCAAAGCCGACAATAGAAATCCTGGAGGTGCGTTCGAAGGGCTGAAGCTTCGGCCTCACAGCACACGGTTGAAGCATGTGAAGGCCAAGAGTCTTAAGTGTTCACTCCAGAAAGGAACGACAAAATGTCTCAAATCCTGATGTCAACGCTCTACCAAGCTCCAGCCTGATCAGCTGCCAAAATGAAGTGCTCGCATAGCTTTTTGCAACGGGCCAGCTTTGTTTTCGCCTGCACACGAAGAACGCCTTGGTAGACCTTTGCGCCTAGGAGCTTGAACCTTCACAAGTTGATACCAGACCTCTGCCCAATGTTCACGCTCCACAAGCCATGTTCCTGCAATTGGCAAGTGATTAAGATTGAGAGAGATGCTTGTTGTCGCACCTGCCATGAAAGCAGCATAGGCCTCACAATCACAAAAGTCAGGGGTGCAAAAAGACAACGTGATGAACTCTCCCACCTCCGCCTCGAGCTGTGTGCGCTGATCACAGTGCACTTTGCAAACCTAAGCGTCACAACGCTGACAGCGATGCACCTTGCTACTAGTAGCTTCTTGTTCCTAGTAGCGATGCCCTGTTACTAGTAGCGTCCTTGCTAGTAAGGCCAGGAGCCCCTAGTAGCGTTCTTGTTCCTAGTAGCGATGCCCTTTGTTACTAGTAGCGTCCTTGCTC